CTTCCTTTTCTGAATTATTTTTTCACATTAACAAGCTCACTGCTCCCTAAACTTTCTAATCTGACCTTTCCAGCTGCTGTGATCAATGTGATCCCATAAAGATTGTTCTTTAAAAGAACACAATGCTCAAGGCAAGTGTTCTTTACTAATTAAAGGAAACTATTGTTTGGTTTAAAGACAACTTCAGGGGATATTTTTTGGTTTAAAGTTAAGCTATAATACTTAGGGGCAATAGTTTTTGGGGTTCATCTAACATCAATGGCTCCAGAGAATCTGGATTCCGTGAGAATTCCAAAAGAAATTTTAATGCCTTTCTAGATTTAGTATCATTTTACTATGCTAGGAATTGTGTTAGGAATTGGCTCTTAGTTTTTCTTTGTATAATTTCCATAAGAAAATAAAATCACAAAACTCTTGTATCTATGACCTTTACATTACTTTGTATTTATAATACTTTATATTACTATATTAAGTTATTATGAAAGACAGCAAAATTTTTAGAGCTTCAGGAGACCTCTCTCTTCTCCCCCTCCCCACCCCACCTAACACACATAATCAATACACCACTCAATTACAGAGAAGGGGGCATGCATTGCATAAAGTTCTGGCTCTGAAACATGGGTGAAGTTGCTTAATCTCTCTTGCCTTCAGTTGCCTCATCTTGATAAGGAGGTAGATTGTGGCAAAGGCTATGACAGAGAGATATGGGAGCAGAAAAACTGTCCTTCATTTCTTCCTTATTAACAGACTAATTTCATTATGGTTGACAATGAGCCCAGCTAAAAGTTGCCTTCCAACCTTCCTTGGCAGAGGTGGACAAATGACTCACTTTTGATCAAAGAGATGTGAGCAGATTTCTATTGGGATAGTAAGGTTTTGCCTTCCTGGAAAAGGCAATGCCTCTCTGTACTTGGAATTCATAGTTCACAATGTTAACAGCCATCTAGCTACCCTTAGGAAAAAGCTTGAGAATGGGATATTCTTCCTAACTTCCCTTTTTGTTTGAAGATTGTTGTTGTTGTTGTAATGTGCTGTAGAGTCGGATTCGACTCATAGCGACCCCTCCTTAGGTTTCTGAGGCAGTATCACTACAGAAGTAGATTGCCCCATCTTCCTTCTGAGGAGTGGCTGGTGGGTTTGAACCACCAGCCTTCTGGTTAGCAGTCAAGTGCCTTAGGCACTATGCTACCAGAACTCCCTGTAATTTCATTTCTAAGACAGCAGAACACTGTAAATTTGATCCTGATGCTCCAGAGAACTTCTTAAAGGTTTTAGAGAGAGAGAGAGAGAAATTATTTACAGACAAGACACAATCAGTTCATCTACTAGTTCTGGCTAGTCAACACATAATTTTGATTATAGGAACCTGTTTAGAGCTAATTAACAAATCATAGTTCACCTTTGTTTTTTTCTCCCCCTGAAATAGATTACATTATACATATTATTCCAAGTACATACTGGAGAAATCTTAGCAACATGACTGGAAAAGAAACATGCTTTAATTTATATACTATTTGGAATTCACTGACACTGAATTGGGAACATTTTACTATGTATATAAACATTGGCTTTTATAAACATTTTACACCATATCTGTGAAAGACTGATTTTTAAAAAATCTAGTTCTGTTATTGACTTATTATAATATGAATCTGAATAACCTATAGAATCATCAAATATTATTATTTGTGATGTAATGCATATTCCCTGGAGTACCTCAGTGTATGATATGTTGTTAGGTGCTGTCAAGTTGGCTCTGACTCACAGCAACCCCATGTACAACAGAACGACACACTGCCTGATCTTGTGCCAGCCTCACAATCCTTGCTATACCTGAGCCCATTGTTGTAGCCACTGTATCAATCCATCTTGTTGAGGGTCTTCCCCTTTTTCACTGACCCTCCATTTTACCAAGCATGATATCCTTCTCCAGGGAATGGTCCCTTCCGACAATATGATCAAAGTAGGTCAGATGAAGTCTGGCCATTCTTGCTACTAAAGAGCATTCTTGCTGCACTTCCTCCAGGACAGATGTGTTTGTTCTTCTGGCATTTTATGGTACTTTCGGTATTCTTCACCAACACCACAGTTCAAATGCATCAACTCTTCCTTATTCATTGTCCAGCTTTCATATGCATATGACCTCACTGAAAGTACCTTGGCTTGGGTTAGGCACACCTTAGTCTTCAAAGTGACATTTCTGCTCTTTAGCACTTTAAAGAGATCTTTTGCAGCAGATTTGCCCAGTGCAATACATCATCTGACTTCTTGACTGGTGCTTCTATTGGTGTTGTTTGTGGATCCAATTAATACGAAATCTTTGGCTTCGATCTTTTCTCCATTTATTGTGATGCTGCTTATTGGTCCATTTGTGAGGATTTTTGTTTTCTTTATGATGAGGTGTAATCCATACTGTTGTTGTTTGTTGTTATGTGCCTACTGACTGTAGTAATTAATCTTCATCAGTACAGGCTTCAAGCCCTCTTCACTTTCAGCAAACAAGGTTGTGTCTTCTGCATATTGCAGGCTGTTAATGAGTTTTCCTCCAATCCTGATGCTGCGTTCTTCTTCATATAGTCCAGCTTCAGCGACCTCACTTGTGCCTTGCCACCAGCATACAGATTGAGTAAGTATGGTGAAAGGATACAACCCTGATGCACACCCTTCCTGATTTTAAACCATGTGGTGTCCCCTTGTTCCGTTCTAACAACGGCCTCCTGGTCCATGGACAGATTCCTTATGAACACAATTAAATGTTCTGGAATTCCCATTCTTCTCGATTTATCCATAATTTGCTATGATCCACACAGTCAAATGCTTTTGCAGTCAATAAAGCACAAGTAAACATTCTTTCTG